GTTTCAATCTCATGTAACTACTCCTTGTCCCAATAGAGCTTTATGATTACCATTATGTACAGAATTGCTAATAAAGGATGGTGACGGTAGTACCAAGGAAGCATACACAACATAATAACAAGGAAATGCCTCACTAACAAAAGAAGTAACCAATAAAATCCTAACAGACTATAAACTTTCTTTCTTTCTCCTTTTTTTTTTCTTTCTTTTTTGTTTTGTCTTCTCATCTTCCTTTTATTTGTTTTGGGGTCACTGGGTCTTAACATTGGCAGATCCTCTCTTGACATATGAGTTGAACAGTATTGAGAAGGGCCTATTTAGTGCCCTTTGTTTTGATCATCTGGGCCCCACCTTCCCTACTAATACTCTCTCTCTCTTTCTGGCCAAAAGTAATTGGGGCACTTCCCATTTTTTATAGAGGGGCATGTCCGTTGAGAAGACAAAAGCTACCCTTGGTTTATCCATTTAGAATGTAGGATTACCTTTGTTTATTTATTTATTAATTACCCGAAGAAGGGAATTATAACAGAAAATCAGAAATTGCATAGAATCTAAAAAGACATTGGAAAATTGCATTGATTAATCTAAGAAGCAAGAAAATTTCTTGAACACTCTTAATTATAAGTAAAAAACCTGCAAACCTATCATGAAAACCTCTCAAGTAATTGTACTTCATACAACCTCTTGGGGACACTAAGCACAAATATACTGATCTTCTTCTATAGCCTATGCCATGGAGTTCTTTGGAAGGTTTCATATTCTTTAGATTTTTCCTCCCAAAATCCCGCTTAGGTAGTGTTTGGTTGTGAATTTCAACTGAGATTTTTTTTCAACTTTTAGCTATATTTAAGAGCCCTTAAAAACTTTAGGCAAAGAAGTGATTTTCAGCTACTTCTTTCTGTCATCACTTTTTTGTGTCCAGGATTTCTTGCAAGAAGAAGAAGACATACAATTCAAAACTGTTTTTTTATAATTCGTTAGGCTTAATAAAACACAAACTTAAAAGGTTGTATAGGTAAATTTGACAATTCAATTAAGTACTAGCAAAATACATGCAAATTTGGTAATTCCTTGAAAAGATATTTGATTATTAAAAAATGGCAAAAACTATACATAAATCATGATAAATTGGCATATCACAATAACATTTTTAATATGGTAGAAGTCTTTAATGATAAATACATCTTTGTAAAATATAAATTAATGAAAAATAAGTAGACCATGTGACGTTTTTAACATGATTGATTGAAATATTGTTGTAATGTGCAATAAAACTTACAAAATGCATCGTAATTGGACTCTATAAAAATTTATGAAAAATTCAAGAATAATCCTAAAAATTATATACATCTCAACTCAATGGCTTTGCACTAACTCCAAAAGACAAAAACGCCTATACAACAATAGAATAGATGTGAGATTACAAAGCATAAGTTGAGCAGGGCTGAGGCTCAATGAACCAATCTCCACCTCAATCTAAGGACTGAAGTTTACTGTGTTGGGGAACTATATGGTTTATAGGTGCCTAGGTGGGCTTACATGAATGTATTTACACAAAATATTATCCCAATCATGTTGTTTGTGATCTTCTATATATTGAAACACTTCTTTTTTTCAGCCACCCATTGGATTGGATTTGTAGCCCTACATTTTCTGGCCTGTACCCCATTGAATTGTTTGACAAGGGCATCCACAGATTATTTTCCGTGTGATTTAGATAAAGGAACCGGCCAAAAGTGATGGTCCTTTCAACTAGTTTGAACCAAGTCACTGGTTGTAGTGCCTTTGTGGTCATTGAGCCCTTAAATCACAAAATGACAAGCGATAACAAACAATTAATGTATTTGCAAAAAAAAAATCATGTTTGTCCTCTTTTGATTAAGTCTTCATGGACAAAAGTTTATGCTGGTCTGTCAAATAATGTTGTTGTCTGGGTTCTTGATTAATTGGTTTGATGGAGAGCGTAAGTAATTTTGATGGAAAAAATAGTGGGATGAAAATCATTCATTAAAATATATAATGATAAGTAGCGTTCGAATATGATACCGAAAAAAATAGAATTTCGGAAAAAAAATACAGCCAGCCAAATGTCTCCTGGTATCATGTCTTCCCAGTATCATAGATTTTCTGTAATAAGTAATAAATAATAGTCTCTAAATGAATCAAAGGACCGGTGATCCGATCACAATACCGGTGTTGGTCAACCTCCAATCAGCTATTTTACAAAAAGAAAATGTCGATAAAATTAACAACCCCTTGATCTATTTGACCGGTTCAGCAGGTTATTGGGACTTTTTTTTGGAATTTTTTGTTGATAACATTATGGGTTGATGTATTTGAACTAAACGATTGAACCACTGGCACATTGAGCCAGAGTAAAAACGGTTCAAGCTCCAGACTGGGTGGGTTTAAAACTTTTAATACACTGCTTGGAACCTTAAAAGAACCCTTGCTATCAACTATTGCTATAAAGTATCAAATATTGTTGTCTGGACAAAAAAAAAAAAATCCTACTTATTTTTTGGTAAAAAAAATCCTGCCAAGGCTTGCAGGTGATCGGGATGGAAATTGAACAAGTGAATGATCAAAAGTACAGTCCTCATAACTGTTTCATTTTTTAAACAAAAACAACCAACTTTTTAGTTTAGTCTCCCTCCCCTTTTTTAAGTCCTAACATAATTACTTGATCTGAATTATGAACCCAGAAACCAAATCTAATATAATTTCATTTAGAAATAAAAATAATTCATCAGTATTTTTTCATTCACCAATTTAATACAAAGAATGCTAAGAAAGATAATTGTTCAAATAAAAAGGTGTCACACTCAAACACAGAGAATCACATCATGGGCCACATGCCTAAATCCAAAACCATCTTAAATTTTTATATTTTAAAAAGGTCATTTAATTAGAGAATCTTTCGATTTTATTTCATGTATTTACTCAAACCTACCTCATAGCTTCCATATTATTAGAAGGGTCATGCCTCTTGTTATTATTTTTTTGGTATTAATCACTGTCTATAAAGATGATACTTTATAAGGACCGTTACTCTTTTTAAGCGATCAGTACAATATTATATCAAACAAGTTTAAGTAATCATATAATTCTTTTTATCATAAAGATGATAATAACAATCACTGCTGAGACAATTACTTATCAGTTGCCTTTTTTTTCATTAATTTGGTCAAATACACATTAGGGTCAAAAACATCACTTCCTACTCTAAGTTGTAGTAAATATGTGAAATTAGAGAGATGTTTATGCAAATAACCCTTTTTGAAAACTTAGACAACTGTCCTATCATTTGCTGATAGTTTCAAATCAAATCTGCTTTCAAAGGACTAAATGATACTGAGTGAAAAGGTCTAATGTGGTTATTCTGAATGCAATAATAATAACCTAAATTGATATGGGTATGGATTAGCCATTATTATCATGTGATTGAGAGACAACACAGGTGGTCTGGGGGGGGAAGCTGAAGTACTTTATTTTTCAAATTATTTGTGTCAAATATGAGGCTCCTAGTTCTAGACTGTAAGGATAACACTACAAGATGAAGCACTTAATTTGTTTTCATTTCCCAGCTCATATCATGCATGCCTCAGCTGGTCAGAATTATTTGGATTTGAGGTCTTTTTGTAAATGATGGAGGCCATTCAATGATTCATTCATTGTTTTTTACTTTGAAAATAATTGAAAAGAACCCTTTTATCTGGCCAACTGAGGGGCTCTTTTGGCTACACTTGCCTCATAAATAGATGCGATCACATTAGGTGCTGCCACATTTTAGATTTCTTGGTATCTAGAGGTTGGAGGGAATGCACATGATGCAAAAATCACCAATTTGGAATAATTTATTTTGAGTGTATCTTCTGGAAAATCCTCTGGGGCTTGACCATCTTATCTCAAAATCAAAAGGGTTGGTTGGTACACAATCATTGTTGCAGAGTGGTAGTTCATACTTCCAATCACTGGGATCGAATGTTCCAATTCAATGTTCTGATCCCAACACTCAGTCCCCCATCTCTACCTACTCTTTATGGGGATTGCAACCCGTGATTTGATTTGATTTGATTGTGGGCCTTTTTCTATCATGTCCTTGTCACTTCAGCTCGATATATGCCCTATATTGCACTTTTCCCCCGCAAATAATAGCCTTACAATTATTCTTGTTTAATCTTTAGCAAACAAGGACAAGGAGGTGATTTTTTTCTTGCCAGTTGGCAAAGAGTTATTGGAAGAAAAGTTGCTATATAGAAAGATAGATGAACAGTACTAAAAGGAAAGTGGAGGAGAGGCGGTTGGGTGACATAGGGGCCTGGCGTTTTGAGGTGTAAGCATTATTGAGCAAAAAAGTATAATCTACAAATAATAAAGACATGAAAAATACGAAACTTTATTATGACTGGTTTGATATTTTAGGCATTAATTTGCACTGGATTTTTTTCATAAATGTAAGTGATGGAGAAAGATTTAACCTGACCCCTTGGTCATATGACACGTGGAAGCAATTGAGAGTGACCTGGCAGAAATGCCAGCTTGGCAAGACAGCGGGCCCTACAACCCGAGTTTTAAGGAAAAAGTCAGCTCCCCCAAAGGGGACCCTACAACCCGAGCTCCGAGCTGAAGAGTCCCGAGCTCCCCAAGGAGGAACCTGAGCTCTCCCTTCAAGGTCCTGAGCCTTACAAAAGGCACAAAAGGCAAAGACCCGAAACGCTAGCCCAAGGGCAGTTCGGACCATACTTCTATCCAAACGGACTTCACCTCGCACACCACTTCGGCCCCAAGTCGCCTGACTGAACCGTACCTGACGCCCAGGAAGCCCGTACACGGAGGCGACGCACCTGACTGATTAGGGGTCCGACACATGACAGCCGCCCCCCAACG